GCAGAAGAACTTGACAAAAGGTTTTCAATTATTCTTCCAGGCTTTCTAGCCAACTTAAAGATGAGACACATAGTTATTCTCCTGAATATCTGAAAGTCTAAGCAGCAAAAGCTTTCCTTATAGCACAAAATGTCCAAGTACCTGGCTTTGTTGGTTATTTTTTTTCCTGAGCGCTGTCTTTGCAGTGCTTGTTTACGTTGTATGTGATAACTCCTTGTATCTTTGCCAACAGGAAGAAATGTGTTAAGTGTGGGTGGTGAGTTTGGAAGCAAAATACTGTAAGCATTTGTCTTTGCCTCTGAATGTGTGCAGAGGCCCACCTAAGTACCCAAGTTCATGTCTGGTGTGTGAACCACGTAACTGGGTGCTCTGCTTTACACTAATGGAACTCAAGCTCCACAAACAGGTCTCAGGAAACTCAGGAATATTCTGCTAGCATACATCATTTTAACAATTTTCTGGTTATACCTCACATTATAATAATAGTAAATAGACTAGACAAGTTATTAAGAACAATATTTTACATCTAACTATGCACACAAGAATATATACTCCCCTTGAGGTGCAGAGTTATGTGCAACACTCCCATTAATGTTAATAGGCATTACAAGTCTGCACCTTGCAGAGAAATCTCCTGAAGTATCATCGTTTACAGCATGTCTGATCTGTTTGCTTATTGTTTATACATAGTGAGTAAAAAGCTGTAGTACAGTAGCTAAATCTGTATACATATAGGTACATATATATCTTGTCCATATGCTTAACATGTATGTTTTAGCAATACCTTTTGGAGTTCTGAAATACCACTGCGTGATATATGTGAGCCATTTCAGCAATGGCATTCAATGCATATGCTCAGATTGCTAAGATGGCTACTTAGTTAAATTTCTTTAATTTTTTTTTTCAGTAGAATGATTCTGTTTTTCTGAATTTAGATCTTGTTTAGATGATATGTGGAATTGTCTGGAGGAAATGGAAGCACTTTTTTTTCTTATATACAAATGAGGAATGGCCAACAACTGTATAAATGTTCTTCACTGAAATGACATGTGCCTGAAAATTAAGATCATACCTGGCTGTTAGTGAAATGTAGAATTTGTGTTAGTACAGACAAATGGAAATGTCTTTGTCTTGGGCTTTGAATTTCAGGAGACATAGAAGTAACCACTCTTGTAAATTGTCTTACATTTCTTAATACTCAAGATGGATGGGATTATTGGATATTCTTGTTGTACAGGTGTAGACTCCCTGTGTTGTTGAACTATACTATTCAAAGATATAGTTCCAATGAAGATCCAGTTTTACTTCTCTTCTTTTACCTTTTATTCTGACCATGCTATGCGAGTGAAAATGTGGTCCTGATTGGTGCTTGCAAGTGTCCCAGAAAACATTAGGTAACCATACACTATTAGAACAATGGAAATGTACTGATTTTCATCGTACTTTCCGAGGTATGTATTTCTGCTTAAGTGTTTCTAGAAAGTAAGAATGCTCCTTTTGTGCCAGTTAATTTCTAAGAACCTTCATAAAATACTTGGAAATTTACTCATATAATATTTTTTCAAAATTTACTGTAGACTGTGATCACATTCGGTCTACTTTATTTATATTTTAATATTTTTGGATATAGAATTAGAACACTGAGACCGCTAAGCGGTCGCCCACCATTAAGTGGCTAAAAGCAGCAGTGCGGGCAGGAGGATGGGTTCAGGCTCAGGAGCTGCCGGCCGGGCAGGGAGCCGCTCTCCGTTGTGTCTGGCGCCACCCCGTGGCAGCGGTGAGATTGCTGCAGCCCCGGCTCAGCGATGGATGTTGTTCTCCGTGCGCCGGTCTCGCCTAGTGCTGCAGGCATGTTTTGAAACTGGAGCAGCTTATGCTTAAATTGCAGTTTTTATAAACTGATGCAGCTAGCTACAGTATCTGTATGGCAGTAAGAATACCTTAAGTCGGAACTCGGGTTATTTTATCCTTGATGTAAGTCGAAATGAATTCCTCAGCACTGTTAAACGCAGTCTTTCCAATTCAGTAATTCTTTGCCTAGGGGCTAAGAGACATGTCAAGGTTCAGATGCTTAAATAAGATTAAATAGCTAGTCTTATATTCATAAAAAAGTTCAAAAGGACAGTTGTATTTGTTTCTATTTCAATTGAATCACGTCTGTGATTCATTTTGAAATTCAAAAATTGTCAAATATACAACTGATATTTTTATTGTACCTACTGTAACTGATATAATACTGAGCTTCAATTATATTACTATTTCAACTATAAAAACGCTCTGTGTACCTGAATTTCTTGGCTGCCCAAGATTTTAACTCATTTAACCCTTCTGATTTTTAATTGAAGAAATTGCATTCTTCAATTGCTTATCTGAAAATAGTTCATTTGAAAAATAGAGAGCCCTAAAAATGGTTAAATTATAGATTGTTTATTTTCTGTTTCAAAGTGAATTTTTCCACCATAAGATGTCAAATTTAAAATAATAATTGGATAGCATGCGTTCTTTATAAAATAAATACTCATTTTTTATAAGCTGTAAGATATAATAACCAAAATAACCACCATAACCAAAATAACAGTAAGAGTATAAAGGTGAAATAAATCAAAGAAATGTTTAGATGCATTTTATTCCTGGGTTTTTAAAAAATACAATATTGACATCGTATTAGCAATGTTGTATTCCTGAATATACTACCATTCATTTTGCTTTTGCTTTCACCGAAAAAAAATCCAGATATCTGGACATATTTAGGTATTACTTATGTTTATATTTAAAATATAAATTTGTGTCATCATAGTGGAAGTATTGTATAGGCATAATTTCCTCATTGAACAAAGATTACTTTTTACTATATGAGAATTTTTGGGGGTTTCATGAGAAGCATCTGACAAAAGCTGATGTTATTTCTAGGTTTGGGATTTTATCTCATCTGACACACAGGGATAGAGTTTAACTATTTCTGTGTATTACTCAGTTGGATGAAAGGAAGCTTCCCCATTTCACTTTCTTTTGAAAATAATTTTGCAGAAAATAGTTTTTGAATGATCGTTTAAGACATGAAAGGAACTTAATTAATTGAATTTTGTGGGCTCAGCAGGTTTGTTTTCCATTTTTTTTGATAATAGTTTCAGAATTTTTGTGATTTCATTTCAGACAAGCAAAAATCAAATCATAAATATATTGCATATTTAGAAAAAGGTCTGTTTAATAAGCGACTGAAACTGGGTTTAGTACTTGAGAACCAAGTAAATTGCAAGAACTGCATCAGCTTTCATTTTTGAAAGTATTGTAATGCTACAGGTATGATAGATTGTCTACTGCCTTTATACCTTTTAGTTGCATATTAACCAAATTTTCTAGCAGTGATATGCAGTCCAGCTTCTTCCCCTGCAGAATCTCTCAGTTGGAGAGGGATGTTATTATGAAAAGACATTTGATAGAGGACTTAAGGTCTTGCCTGAAAGCAAATCAAGAAAATGAGAAAACCTCAAATGAAACATTGGAAAGTCTTGAGAGAAAGGTACTTCTTTATTGCTGTTCCTAGTTTTCAGAAAAGCAGAAGCTGGTGGTTTTACAGAAGTTATTTCAACACACTATACATATTAAATCAATATATTGCTTAAAGCAAAGAACATACATTTAATTGAAGGGTGTAATTCCCTCCACTATAATTTGTATGAAATCAGTATATGGTGATAGCTTGAATGGATTCAGCATAATTTAATTTATCTTTGTTATAGGTGTAATTAAATACTAAAGTATTCAGAACACACAGTTGCAAGGATATGCTGTAAGTAGTGGGATTTAGTTTTATGCACTGTAAGGTCATAAAATATAGTAGACCTTAAACAAGGGTGATTTTACATGACATATGCTAATGAAGTCCATGCATCTCTCCTGGCTATAGTAGTTAAATGTTTTAATATGTTAATCTATTTTATACTACAGTGTTATGAATGATTCACAGTTCTTAGCTTAAACTGTGTAGGCAGTGCTTGACTTCTATAGCAAATTATTTTCTCCTGCAAAATTTTAGGATGATTTCACTGAAGGTAAGAGAATTTGTATATGGTTTAGCATATTTCTGTTATTCAACTGATGCACTGCACTTTGGCCTTCAATGCCAGAAAAAGATCATGATGTTTGGTTGTCTGTCAGGTTATGTAGCTTATGACCCCAAAATAGAAATAACCTGCCAGTTTGCTTTTGTTTGCCTAGAACGCAAGTGCTTGCTGAGTGACAGAAGCAGTATTCCTGCTTGCAGTCATACAGCATTTTCAGCTCCAAAGAGAGGTAATGTATAACCCTCCATGCTAAAGATAAGGTGCTATTAAGAAATCCACAGCCAAAAAGTGAACACATTGAGGGAGGGAGCTAGGGTATGACCTGAGAAAAATACCTGGTTTTGGTTTTGGATAAAAGTTACAGTGTGGAATAATGTGCTTTATTGCTGTACTTTGAGTATTTGAAGCACTTCATTTCCAAAGAATCATATTCTATATGTTATTTTGATTATTCCATGTGGAAAATCAGCTTGATAAATTTTATATTATCTTCGGCAAAAGATCAAATAAATTCCCTGTTACTCAATATTGTGAGGAAAACTTTGTGATTAACACTATAGGAAAGCTCAGTGATTTTTGGGAAGATTTGTTTTTTTCATTTTAACCCCAATCTAATGTTTGCATTAGATATTCATTATCTAAGAAGCTTTACAGAATATTAACATATAGACAGTTATTTTCTCAGCTGAGTTTGAATTTATGTTTTTATCTCTGACAAAAGAAATTCGTGGAAATTGTAGTTTACTCCCTTTTGCAAGTACTGTGAGTCTAAATTATATATGAACAAACAGTTCTGCAAATGAAGAGCTTTTCTTTATATTTAATGATAGTCAAAACTTTATGTAACTAGAGTGTGTGTGAGCTAATCTCTAATGGATCAACATTAGAGATTTATTAAAGTCTGCAATTTCAGAAAAAGATACTTCAGTAATGTAGTTGTATATTTTTATGTAATAAAGGTATGCTTAGTTCTGATTTTATTGAAATTTTGAAGTTTTCTCTCTTGATAGTCAGTGCTTTTGGCCTTTCATTATTTCAGGTGAAGTCTCTGGCTGAAGACAAAAAAGCTTCCACTGACTCAATGAAACAAAGATTTAATGTAGCTATGAAAGAGAAGTCTCAGTATGAGCAGATATATCACAAAGACAAAGATTATTTGGAGAAAAAGGTATAATTGGAGTTTTGATGTCTCCACTGTGGAATTTTCATACCTTACTTTCAAATGAAAAGTTGCAAGGTCATCAGCTTAAACTTTCAGTACAGAAAGGAGGAAAAAAGCAGAAAAATAATAATCTGTTTCTCTGATGCAAGTCAGTCACACTTCTGAAATGCATATACTGAAACATGGGCATAATGACTGAAAATGAAATTATTTTTTGCCATGAAAGTGCATTCGGTATGTTGCAAGTGAAATATTCTGTGATGTCAGCTACGATGTGGGAGGTTGTTTGTTCATTCATTTGTTTGTAATCTACCATACCTCCCCATCAGCTTTTGTCATAGCACTGCTGTGTCTCTGTGGATATGTTTCGGGATCTCAAGGATGCTAAACTAGAGAGAAAAATGGTTGAGACTGAATGTGCTATGGCTGAGCTTGAAACTGCTGCATCTCAACTACATAGCTTGGCTAAACAGAGTACACAGGCTTTGGAAACTACAGAAGGTGCTGCTGCTTACCAGTGACAAAATAGAAGAGTTCAAGACATTTGTGAAGGCTTGAATGTTGATTTTCTTTTGAGTGTTCACCTGAGTAAAGGTATTTTTGATTGAAAGCAAAATATAAAAGATTAAATAAGGCTTGGATGCACTCCCTGTTCCAGAACAGTGTTTGTAATTGCAGTAGTCAGGTGTCAGGTCTGAATGAGGAGAAAGAATCACTTCCTCTCTCCCAGACTTTCAAACATTTCCATAATTTTTATTCATTATTTTTTTACATATGGGTGACATATGCTTGGTTGCAAAAGAAAGTGATTAGTTTTGGATCAGATTACTTTGCAACAAATAAATTCCCACCACATTTAATATAATAATTTGTATCTATTGATTACTGTGAATTACTGCATTTTCCATATGCATGTGCTAGTTGTTTTAGAAATACTATATGAGGAAGCCTCTGTGTTGTAAAATTGAAAGCATTTTTAAGAACTGTATGCAGAATAGTGCTTCCTTATATTCCTTCCAGGTAAGTGGTCACAGCGCCAGCCTGATAGGGTTCAGGAAAGGCTCTTGGACACGTGGTGTGACACTTGGGGATGTTGCTGAGTGGGGCCAGGAGTTGGACTTTGATGATCTTTGTGGGTCTCTTCCAACTAAGAGTATTTTGTGACTTTATTAAGGTAGCATATAGTGTATGTATATATACTGTATACCAGCTTTCAAAGAAGACTATTTATTAGCCCATGAAACAGCTACTTCTCTACTACTCTTGGATTTCTGTAGAAGTGAGCTGCTTTCAGATATGTTTGAGCAAGGCTGAAGCATTCAAAGTAAAGAGTGATGGTATTTTGAAGCACCAGAAAAAGACAGCATATAAAGTCACTCTACATAGCAGTGTTCAGACCTTTAGCATTTGCCTGAAATCATCCCATGTTCAGTCCTGTTGCTAAGTTCATGTAAATTTCCTTATGAAAAAAGACTGAATGATGTTGGATGTGTTTTAGAATCCTAAATTCAAGCAATACAAATAATTCATAAGTTAACTTATCTAAGGTGAAAATAATGATTGGTTTTCATGAAAAAGTGCCTTTTATTAAAAAAACTAGATATTTTATTTTTAAAGTTTATTATTAAAATGATTAATATTTTCTTTTTGCCTTTTCATGTAACTGTTGAAAAAGAGGTATAACATGGATGATTATGTCCATTCGTTCAGAAATATGCTGCCTATTCTTGAACAGACTATAAATTTTCATAAGAGAAAATGTGTTTTCTTCTAATACGAATGCTTACTCTAAGAGGAAAATATATGTGTTATTTCCACAGCTGCATGTTATTTTTGGCTAAATATTTAAAAGCCTGAATTAATCTAATGTATTATCTGTTGCTTTTAATTAAATACTCCTGTGTCACTGATGATGGAGAGAAGCAATTCAGTCTCCATTCAGACTGCCATGAGTTTTGGAATGTTTTCACTGAATAAAGTGAAAGTAGCAGTCACAGAAATAAGGAGATAAAAAAATCATACTATTAATATTTTACATAGTTCCATAAGAAAATTTTTTCAAAAATTAGAAAATGAGAAAGTAAAAGATATTCTGTTCTCAGAATAAAAATAGTGAGCAGGATCACCTATTAGCAACTATCATCATAACTTCATTCATTGTTGAATGATATGACAGCTTTGTTGGTAATTACCATGAATATTCATAAGCACTTTCACTGTTACACTAGATGTGAAAAAATGTAAATATAAAATAATAATAGTAATAAATACCTATTTTCTTGCCTGAATATAAAGAATATGCATGCATATTTTGAGTAACAGTTTTGCTGACTGTTGTTCTTCTGCAGAACAATTTTTTGAAAACAAAGCTAGTGTCTATAAGTAGACTACTTTGTTTAGTTGGGTGCTAAAATCAGATTTTATTAACAATATGCCACTGTAAAAAAGTAAAATTCTTAGCAATTCAGTGGAATTGTGCATTATATCATGTAAATCCTGTTAAAATATCTCTTGTATATCTGATGTTGTAATGAGGTATTGTGATAATGTAATAAGTAGCATTACTCCTTCCTCTTGAAGAGTACAGTTCTTCTTTTGAAGTCTGGTCTGCCTCATTTCTTTTCTTCTGGATAGCTGTCAGATTTTTGTCCCCTGACCTTAATTTTCACTCCAGTTCCAGTAATTAAAATTATTTTTGCTATATAGAGATCGACTTTCACCTATATATATCACTTAAACAGGTTAAAAAAATTATATAATCCTCTAATCTTTGTCTGCTATTCTGATCACTTAATAGGCTTTAATTGTTTTTTAGAGTGCACGTGTAATTTTCTCCTCATTCTTAAATTGAATGCAGTTACTTTTTCTACCTATTCCATGTCTCTTGTGACATTATATAGTTCTTTTTTAACATACAACAATTAAATTATTTCTGAGTTGCTAATTAAGTTCCTGCTAGTTACAGCTATAAATGGGAGAACGGGGAAACTTCAGAGAAGAGTGTGTTTATAGCAGGCAGTGTTACTTGCTTTTAAAGTTATTAATAATACAGAACCACAGGATCCTGGATCTAATTGGGTCAAGATAATAAGTTACAAAACCTAGGGAAGAGGTTTGTGGTAGAAATCTGATATACACAAGTGGATCACTGTAGAGGATGTGATGACTTACTAATTGAGCACATATTTGTAATGGAATGTAATAAAATGTTGCATTGCTATGGTCACCTCAATTTGGGACACTTACACAATGAGCTAAAATCATTAGATTGTAGAATCTAGTAATAGTTTCCAAAAATGCTGAAAGAATGCTTGTAAACAAAGGTTGCTTTTTCCAATATGCTTTAAGGGATTATTGGATTTATTTTTGTTGGAATGTGAGATAGGAATCAGGTATTTTGTGCAGAATGATTTTCAGAGGGAGCCAACAGAGCACCTGAAATAGGTTAATTCAGAACAGTTCATTTTTCCAAAGCTGTTATTAGGAATATATAGGCTAGTAGGAAATATGAATAGAAATTGTAGACTGTAACAGTTTATTAAGTAACTAAAAAACGCTGTTGCATAATTAGATGGTAATTTCTTATAAATATCTATTTCATTTTGGTAGGAAAGAGAACAAAATACTTAGAAATGAAAGGCAACATAAACAGAGTGGAAAATTGATTATAGATAATAACCTGAAAATATAAGCAACAATGGAATATAAAAGATGGATAAAATGCTGTAGAGGTCAAGAGGAAATCTTTGGCTAGCAAGGCTAAGAACTATAGTAAACAAGGATTTAAATATGTACTATACTACTAAAGTAACTATTATAGGGCAGATGCAATCTATTGGATAAAACAACTCTGTAACTGTGTAAAGATAGAATGAATAAAAATTTAAAATAAATAAAATTAATATGATAAAATGAATGCTTCTCTTTTGTATCTGGAATGAAGTAGACTGATGTCTTATGAAGATGCTGCAACATCCTTAATCTATTAGTAACCAAAAGATTTTTTAACATTTTCTAGAAAGAAGTAGGATTTTTGGATTGAGAATTTTTATAGCTTACTCCTTTATAGAGCTAGTTAAGAAATATTTCTCTTGCTGCTCCTCATTTTGAGTAAGTAGTCAAAGTTAGTGTGTATATATTACAACATTGCCTAGAGTCTAAGAGAATGATAATATTGAGTCATTGTTCAGAAAAGGCAGTATTTTATGTTCATTAATCTGACCTCATTTCTGAACAAAATACTGATAAGAAATTCAATTATTAAAGTATTAAAGCATGAGAGTGTATTTATACTTGTTAGAGTACCTTTATGGAAAGTGATCTATTGATCTACATTGAGTAAATCTGTTTTTTTTTTCTGGAGAGTAGTACAAGTCAGTTGACAAAGGTTACTATTTGTTTTAATATACCTTTTGTTTAGGATGTCTGACTTACTACTTAGAGAGATTCAGATAAAAAATAGCCTATACAATATCAATACTATGTTAAAGGAATTAAAAATAGCTCATGCAGTTGATCTGAAAAATAAATCATAAAATGTGGGTGTTTTTTAGAGTTCTGTAATGACCAGAACTAAACTTGTTTATTAAACATTTTCACAAAATCCATATCCTGATAAAAATTTTCCATGGTATGTATCAAGACTAAGAATTAATAATGAAAATTGGGCCGTAAAGATATCAACTAGGCCAAATAAAGCAGTTTTATTACAGAAAAATGCAAACTACCTGGAAGAGGGATCAGATAGCTTGAGTACTTCAGGTGCGTTTTCTGGAGCTCAGGTCTTTATCCCACTCCACTCCCTTCAGCACCATAAATTCTTTTTGAATCATGCATTTAGTTTTTATGGTATACCATTGCTCAGGATTTTCTGTAACATGTACTGTCAGATCCTCAGGTGGAGCTACCAGTTATGTGCAGCACAGCAACCAGAGCAAAATATTCTTTATTGTGTGTTTGTAGTACTTGTGAGAACTCATGCAGAAAATAGCCATTGGATAAAGTTAAAAATTGCTATTAGACTGCTTGACTGGATTTCTATTGAAAATATAGTAGAACATGCTAGTTTATTACAAACCTGTCCGAATTCCTGCATGAATTCTGTTTTCCAGCATGTTTGATTTTTTTGTCCTCCTCTAGACTTTGACTGACCATATGTTTCTGTTAGAGGCTTTTGTAAGCCAAGACTCAGTAGTGTCGTCTGTCCTATTCAACTTGTACATCAGCAAAACTAACTTTAATCTGCCATGATGATGCCTGTCTGAGCATGAGAATATCAGAATTTTTCTGACCTTGAGAAGGATTGTTTTGATTAGGCATCTATATTCAGCTGTGGTGGTAATAAATAGGTGTGGCAGCTGAACGCTTTGAAATCAGATGAGTGCACTTCTTACTTCCATACTACCTCTGTCATTTGGGACTCGTGTGCCTTCCATTGAGGATACCCTCTGCAGCACAGAGCACATCTGGTGTGTTCTGGCATTGTTCTTGATAGGTCTCCAGTACAACCATCTGATAAAACTGACTGCCAAAATCAAGACCCATGGCAGCTT